CAAATTTTTTAAAAGAAATCTCCTTCTTGAATAAATATAAATACAAATTACAACTGCAGAAATTTTGTCTAAAACGTTACATTTTTGGATATTAATCGCTTTGCAAGCGTTTACTTTCATCAACGCTCTTCAACAAATTCATGTTGTTCACTTTTCCGGCATGATACATTTCTTTTACAGTGCGTTTCATTTCCTTTTTTTTTTGTAATAAAACTACAAAAACCTGTTGTTGTTTCAGCCCTAAAAATGATTAAAAGCCTGAACATTGTTTCCTATTCAAATAACGATACTTATAGTAAAACTTGGTTAAAACTAAGATAGTTTAAAATTAAGATTTTCTCATTTATCCTGAACTCTAACTTTTCTTTTTTTCTTTGCTCACATCCTCACCAGTGCTTTATTCTTTGACCTTGGTTATTGGAAATTTGAACTCATAGACCAATTAATCGCCACTAAGCTTCCATTTAATTTTCTAATTCTCAGTAATACCACAATTCAAATATATCAAAGATAACAATTCAGTCATTTCAAAAATACGGATGGATATATTACCCGAAACAAACAAAAAAGCATGCTGTGATTGATCACTGGATGAATCAAGTAAATTGACATCACTAATGTTGTTATGCAACGATATATGGTCACTTCCTTACCGCATGACCTCTTTGATGCTTTTTATAATTCATATTGCGAATCAAACTTGTGCATAACCTTCATATTAACAAAGCTAAAAATCTCAGATACCAAAAGTAATCATTCGTTAAACTTCATCTGATCTCTGCACATTATATTCAAAGAATCAGTAATCATCAGGTGGTAACTTATTTGACAAAATGGACGACTTATGCACAAATGCGCATCTTTCACGTTCTTTCTATTACAAATGAGTATATATATATATATATATATATATACATATATATACATAACATTCTTCTATATTTTATGCTTCCAGATTTCCATTTCAAATTTAATATGTTTTAGAGAGCATAATTACTGAGTTCCGTCAATTACAGAAAAAAGACATGAATTCTCTTGAAGAATATTTAAGAGGAAAGGAATTCACTCAGACACAAATATTCTTTGAAACTGTATTAGAAGCTATTTCCGCTGGTTACAAAATTTTATCCTTTTCGGAATATTTTTGGATCATTGAAAATTCATAGTTTAAATTTCGAGCAATAATGCATTAATTAGAGCAGTACGTTGTTATAATTTCAAATCAATAGTCATCAATTTCTTTGCCATTTTTTTTAAGATTGGTAGGAACTTTTTGACATTCTTATCACTTCCCTATGATTAAATCACAGTAACTACGAAATGAAATGGAATCGAGAATAATGATACGATAAAAAATAGCGACACCACAGACTTTTTGTAAAGTATCGTTAGTTGATTGTATTAGAAAATGTGAGCAAAAATAGTGTTGAAAAGTTCATTGAAAATTCGAGAATTTATTTCATAAAGTTTCAAACATTCTCGCATCACTCTCAACAGTAATTCAATTTGACCAAAATTCCTTGCAAGAAAATTTTTATCTTAACTGATTTTCATGTTTGATAGAAGTTGTAAGCCAATTGGAATACTATGGAACAATTGCAAGCTAATTTTTGCTTTCTGTCGTGAACTCTCATCAATCCTAAAGGACCAATGTTTGAAATAGGCTTTAGCTTATCATTTGAAACTAAGAGCTTATGATAAATGGAGATTGTAGTATAGCTGAAGCAAAATTATTTGTTAATGAATAAAAATGCTATGACTTTCTTGATGTTTTTTTTCTTTTATTTTTTTGAAAACGCGAAGTGTCCCTGCCAATCGTCAAAACAACTAGTGAACATTTACATGAAATGAAAAATTAAATCCAGTACATTTTTAAAGTTATAAATGAATTTAACAAAGCATCGTCATCTTCCTACCAATTTCAGAGATGAAAATTTTACTGAACTTTAACCTCAACACATATTTATTCTGTCAGCATTGATTTCCAAATGATATTTGATGATACTTTGTTTTAACATTTCTCTTTTTTACTAGGTATCAGATCAATTAAATAACATCTTTCTTATAATGTTTCATTATCAATATGATGTGAACCACACTAATATATAGAGATAAAATATTGAGAAGATTTAACTGCATTTCATTCATAGCAGCTATATAGATAGTTTTTATTACTACGATGGCAAATCACTGAATTGATAGTTGTTTAGGTGTAAGGAATGATATTCATATCCGTCATTTGTCAACTCAAAGTTGGTTGTAAAATTTTTACTGTATTTCTTAGGAAGTTCAATTTGTCTGCTCGTTTATTCATGGTTACCCATCATTATAGCTAGGCTTCACGAACGAAGATTTGCAAAGGGCTTTACTCAAGCTTGCTGCAAACGCTACAGATGTGGGTGTATCCTGCGAGAGCCTACACAGTGAATTTTTTGATGAGGAAACATGACCATCACCTTTCACTCCAATGGTTCACCTGTCAGGGCCTAGCGAGTTAGGATGGTGATAGTGAAGACCTTAGGATGGAGGTTTAGTAGCACATACTTCTCTTTCATGGATGACCGTGGAGGGCTAAACGAGCTCCATCTATTCGGATTTGCAGTTAGAGTTGTCCTTCTCCTAGGATGGTTGTCAGAAAATTAGCTAGCCTATCCTGTCCGTGATCGTTTCGGTTACTATGGAACTACTGTTGGGCTGGTTTCTGCTCAGTAAATATGCTATCTGCAATGTAATATCGTTAGTCTTGAAGTAACGTTACGCTAAATGATGTCATTGTCGATTTCTGAGTTTGATCAGTGGAGTCAGTGGAATCAGATAGATCTGACCACTTAAAATTGCTTGAATTTAAAATGGACACATTTTTCTGTCCGGTCAGTTCTTATTTCGGTATAGTTGCAACTGAAGTGTAATGATCGAACGGTCAGTTATCCTTTCTGTTTCCATCAGAATATCCATAAAATGGAAAGAGATGAAACAATGAAGCATACATAGAAATGAGTCCAGTATATTACAGTACAAGATAATCAATGCAGGGATACTTCTGAAACATGGTGTGATTATAGATATCAATTTAGAAAGGTCTGATTTATTGAATGGAAGAAGTATCAATGTTTGTTATGTGTGAGTCCTTAACTTTTGATCTATTCGGTACCCTTTGAGATAGCCAGACTTGCATACGAGTACGGCAGCATTTGTCAGATGTTCACAACAAGTACCAGATACGTACCAGATATTGAAGCAGAAACAAGTACCAGATATTGAAGCAGAAACAAACAACCTGAAGATCAAGCAAAAGTAAACTATAGACAGCCGCTGAGATGTGTAATAGTCTTATTTCCGAGAAAAAAAAAGGAATGGATAAAACTGAATGCGTATCCCATCGATGATTTCATTTTAGGAATGCAAAAATGATGATTTACACATCAATTTCTTGTTACAGAGGAATATGCGTCATTCTGATATCACTGAAGGGAACGTCGAGGGTGGTCTAGAAGATATCACACTACTTGCTTTGCATCTAATAGATACCCTGCAATAGTTTGAGCATCGTGGGTGGTCTTGTGCGGCAATATTTCCAAATGCTAGAATAATGAAATATGCAAAGATACATGGTTTAAACTACCAAACAATTCTGCATATTCCTCATTAGTTAGAGACTTGGTGAAATTTACTGGTGGCCATCGTTTGTTTCGCAACTGCTTGAATCATCAGGATTGAGGCACGGAACACAAGATTTTTATCTTAAGTGATATTAGTATCCTTACGCTCTTATAATTTTGCTTAGGTGTTATGATTGACAAATCTCAACTATATGAAAAATTCCGGATCTGAATCACTTTTCTGAACCAGATTTATCAGGATATTTTTGTCCAGAATGTACGATCAAAAAGTAGTATAAGAGCTTCGGTGCATATGAATTACATTCAAGCCAATATGTTCTTATAAGGTAGACTTGAGTTCGAGTTTGAAGCTTCCTTGAAGCTTAACAATATGGCATGTTTTATGATACGCGTTCAATATTTCGAGTATCAACGTAATTCCGGAAATGGTTTCTGAAAAAAAATACTAATTTTCCGGAAGGAAAACTAGTCAAAAAAAAGAAGGAAAACTATCACAAAACTAATCACTCAACACTTTTGTATCCTGTTATTTCTCCTCAACATTTTCGAAATGTTTGTTTACGATATTTCCAGTAAAATTATCTATGTGTATGTGTGCGTGTGTGTGTATGTGTATGTATGTGTGTTGTACGCATGCATGCATGTATGTATGTATGTATGGGCACATGTATGTATGTGTGCATATATGTATGTGTGTATGTATGTGTGCATGTGTGTATGTGTGTATGTATGATGTGTGTGTAGGCCATATTTGAAAACAATATTGATTGGTTGACGGAAAATTTTCAGAAATACTGGCAGTTTGGAAATTTGTAAAAGGAATAAACCAGTCGCAATTCTTCAACAGTTGCAACCTTTTGGTACCTGGAAGAAAAGAAAAACATTGGACACCGGATAATCCATTCCCGGAAATTAGTTTTTCTACGTATTTATATCTTATTTATCAAAAAGCAAGTAGTCATTTGTAGTATCAACAAGAACTTTTTTGTTTGAATAAACACTGATTGCTTCTTTTGTGATAGCTTAACACTTGATGTTTCATTCGCCTGCCAATTTTAAACTCCGAAATGTTCCAGACTTTAGCGTTTCCAGTTGAGACTCAAAGTAAACATTACTGTATCCATCATCTGTATCTTCTTAGAAGGCGTATCTGCTTTTATATTTTGGATGCAAATGTCTTCTCTCAATGATTACATCATCACTATTCTGGTAATCATGATGGCCTTAGATGTGAACGGATTTCGCATCTCCTACTGCTCACTGTTTCTTGCCAAATATATGTTTTATATTGTATTAAAAGAGAAAGACGAAATGAACCTTAGAATATCAAACCGCTTCATTTACTATTCAAGTTGATGTGATATAAAAATTAAGTCTAATGAAATATTTCAAATCTCAAAGAAGCAACAAAAGGAAAAGATTTAGAACCATCGTATGGTTCTAAATCATGGATTATTTATCCCCACCATCTTTGACTCCTCGAATACTTCCATCAGCTCTGCCTCCGTACAATCTTAAACATCCATTGGACTACATATCCAATGTTACTGCTCACGCACAAGTGAGAGTTACCAGTATTGAGGCCATACTACTGAAGACTTTGCGTTGGGGTGGACATGTCTCCAGAATGGAGGATCATTGCCTTCCTAAGATTCTATAGCGAATTGGCAATCGGTTTCCGCAAAAGAAGAGCCCCAAAGAGGAGATACAAGGAGGCCCTGAAACAATACCTTAATTTTGGCCATATTAGCTACCATTAATGGCCGACTCTGGCCTCGAATCGGGGGACATGGAGACACATCACTCATAATGTTGCTGCTTCCTTCGAGAACACACGCAGAATTAGCTTAGAGGACAAATAACAACGCAGAAAAAACTGTACTTCATCAATACCGTCTAAGAAGACCTTCCACTGTGCCTTTTGCACCCGAACTTGTTTATTCCGCATTGGTCGTCTTAGCCATCAACACGCTTGGGTGTAGAATCCTCCACATATTTTCGTTCACAAAGCCT